TCTTAATTCTTCTTCTTCTTCTTCTTCTTCTTCTTCTTCTTCTTCTTCTTCTTCTTCTTCTTCTTCTTCTTCTTCTTCTTCTTCTTCTTCTTATTATTAATTATTAATTATTATTATTATTAATTATTAATTATTATCATTATGATTGATGATAATGATAATGATGATGATGATTATCATTCTTATTCTTATTATCAATGATTATTCTTCATTATTCTTATTCTGAAATTCTTCTCAATTATTACTTTCCTTTTTATCTTTTCCTTCAATCGGTTTGTTTCTTGCCATGTGAGAGTGAGTGCGTGAAGAAAGGCAGGAGGAAATGATTGATGATGATGATGATGACGATGACGATGACGATGACGATGACGAAGAAGACAAGGTCGAAGCTCAAAGTAGAAGAGGGAAAAAGTTGGTGATGGACGGGGCAGTGTCCATGAGCTCCGTACGGTTTCCAGGGCATTTTGCCGGGCCTCCGGGGGGGGGGGGGGGGGGAACTGCGTATGAGCACCGTACGGTTTCCAGGGCATTTTGCGGGGCCTGCGGGCGGGGGATTTACGAGAATTTCCCCTGCCAACGGGGTCTGGCCCCGAAGCCGGTACACCGGTTGCCGGCGTCGCTAGCCCAGGGGAGAATAGCAGACGGAAGGCTCGGCGCCTGGGTTGCCTTCGGGAGGAACCGGCACCTCGGCTCCGAGCGCCCGTGGCCGAGGGGAAAGGGGCGGCGGTTGGGGGGGGGGGGTAGGGGTGGTTGGTGGGGTGGGGGGTGGGGGGTAGGGGTAGGGGTGGGGGTGGGGGGTAGGGGTGGGGGGTGGGGGTAGGGGTGGGGGGTGGGGGGGTTGGGGAGGGGTAGGGGTGAGGGGGTGGGGGTGACCCTCCCCCTTCCGGTCCCACTTCCTCTGAGCCCTCCACCCGGTGGGACAGGAGCAGCGGGAGGACCTGTTCCCGGTCGTGGTGGGTGAACGGCCGCGCCGCTAACCCTATACTGGGGGCGCGGCTGGTCCGGGCCAGCGGCTGAGAGAGAGCGAGACGCGCGGGGCGAGGCGGCGGCCCCATGGCGGTCGCGGTCGGGCGGCCTGGGCGCCGCCTTCCCCCGGCCGTGACGGTCGGTTGGCGGCAGGGGTTCGAGCTGGCTGTGGCCGCAGTTGGTCTGCGGAAGCAGGCAGGGCGCCGCAGCCGCCTTCCCCCGGGCGTGGCGGTGGGTTGGCGGCAGGGGATCGAGCTGGCTGTGGCCGCAGTTGGTCTGTGGAGGCAGGCAGGGCACCGCCGCCGCCGCCGCCTTCCCCGGGGGTGGCGGTGGGTTGGCGGCAAGGGATCGAGCTGGCTGTGGCCGCAGTTGGTCTGTGGAGGCAGGCAGGGCACCGCCGCCGCCGCCTTCCCCGGGCGTGGCGGTGGGTTAGCGGTAAGGGGGCGAGCTGGCTGTGGCCGCAGTTTGTGTGCGGAGGGAGGCAGGCAGGCAAGCAGGCCGGCAGGCAGGCCGTCCGTGGTTTGCCGGGGCCAGCAGCGAGGGGATGATGGCCCATCGGCGGCCGAGGGGACTGTACGGACGGACGACGGACGGCAGGCAGGCCGTGTGCGGACGGTCGCTTGCCGCCGTTGCCGTTGGCCTTGCGAGCGGGCAAGGCCCCTTTTTCGACCACCCGCGCACGCTGGCCCTCGCCTCTTGGCCTCTTGGTCCGGCCGTGCAGCACGTTCCCTGCCTCCGAGCAGCTTCGCCCTGCTGTGTTGCGGGCCGCAGCCGGGCTGCGCGCTCCCGGGCCTCCCGGGCGTCCGGGAGCGCGGGCAAGGCCTGGGTCCCTTGGGCCGTGGCCGTGGCCGTGGCCGTGGGCGGGAGAAGCGGCGAGCGAGGGCGTCCCCGGAGCCCTGGGTCTGTCGGGCGGGCCCCGCTGCCGCTGGTGCCGGCTCCCTCCCCTTCCCGGCAAGGCTGGTTCCGGGGCAGCCTTGTGGTGGCGGCGGCGGCGGCGGGGCCGGGGCTGTGGCTGGTGTGTGCGGGCGCGGCGGAAAGGGGCGTTGGCGGTCGGAGGAGGACGCCTTGGTGGCGGAGCGAGGCCTGGGTCCCTTGGGCCGTGTCCGTGGGCGGGAGAAGCGGCGAGCGAGGGGCGTTCCCGGAGCCTCGGGTCTGTCGGGCGGGCCCCGCTGCTGTGGCTGGTGTGTGCGGGCGCGGCGGAAAGGGGCGTTGGCGGTCGGAGGAGGACGCCTTGGTGGCGGAGCGAGGCCTGGGTCCCTTGGGCCGTGTCCGTGGGCGGGAGAAGCGGCGAGCGAGGGGCGTTCCCGGAGCCTCGGGTCTGTCGGGCGGGCCCCGCTGCTGTGGCTGGTGTGTGCGGGCGCGGCGGAAAGGGGCGTTGGCGGTCGGAGGAGGACGCCTTGGTGGCGGAGCGAGGCCTGGGTCCCTTGGGCCGTGTCCGTGGGCGGGAGAAGCGGCGAGCGAGGGGCGTTCCCGGAGCCTCGGGTCTGTCGGGCGGGCCCCGCTGCTGTGGCTGGTGTGTGCGGGCGCGGCGGAAAGGGGCGTTGGCGGTCGGAGGAGGACGCCTTGGTGGCGGAGCGAGGCCTGGGTCCCTTGGGCCGTGTCCGTGGGCGGGAGAAGCGGCGAGCGAGGGGCGTTCCCGGAGCCTCGGGTCTGTCGGGCGGGCCCCGCTGCTGTGGCTGGTGTGTGCGGGCGCGGCGGAAAGGGGCGTTGGCGGTCGGAGGAGGACGCCTTGGTGGCGGAGCGAGGCCTGGGTCCCTTGGGCCGTGTCCGTGGGCGGGAGAAGCGGCGAGCGAGGGGCGTTCCCGGAGCCTCGGGTCTGTCGGGCGGGCCCCGCTGCTGTGGCTGGTGTGTGCGGGCGCGGCGGAAAGGGGCGTTGGCGGTCGGAGGAGGACGCCTTGGTGGCGGAGCGAGGCCTGGGTCCCTTGGGCCGTGTCCGTGGGCGGGAGAAGCGGCGAGCGAGGGGCGTTCCCGGAGCCTCGGGTCTGTCGGGCGGGCCCCGCTGCTGTGGCTGGTGTGTGCGGGCGCGGCGGAAAGGGGCGTTGGCGGTCGGAGGAGGACGCCTTGGTGGCGGAGCGAGGCCTGGGTCCCTTGGGCCGTGTCCGTGGGCGGGAGAAGCGGCGAGCGAGGGGCGTTCCCGGAGCCTCGGGTCTGTCGGGCGGGCCCCGCTGCTGTGGCTGGTGTGTGCGGGCGCGGCGGAAAGGGGCGTTGGCGGTCGGAGGAGGACGCCTTGGTGGCGGAGCGAGGCCTGGGTCCCTTGGGCCGTGTCCGTGGGCGGGAGAAGCGGCGAGCGAGGGGCGTTCCCGGAGCCTCGGGTCTGTCGGGCGGGCCCCGCTGCTGTGGCTGGTGTGTGCGGGCGCGGCGGAAAGGGGCGTTGGCGGTCGGAGGAGGACGCCTTGGTGGCGGAGCGAGGCCTGGGTCCCTTGGGCCGTGTCCGTGGGCGGGAGAAGCGGCGAGCGAGGGGCGTTCCCGGAGCCTCGGGTCTGTCGGGCGGGCCCCGCTGCTGTGGCTGGTGTGTGCGGGCGCGGCGGAAAGGGGCGTTGGCGGTCGGAGGAGGACGCCTTGGTGGCGGAGCGAGGCCTGGGTCCCTTGGGCCGTGTCCGTGGGCGGGAGAAGCGGCGAGCGAGGGGCGTTCCCGGAGCCTCGGGTCTGTCGGGCGGGCCCCGCTGCTGTGGCTGGTGTGTGCGGGCGCGGCGGAAAGGGGCGTTGGCGGTCGGAGGAGGACGCCTTGGTGGCGGAGCGAGGCCTGGGTCCCTTGGGCCGTGTCCGTGGGCGGGAGAAGCGGCGAGCGAGGGGCGTTCCCGGAGCCTCGGGTCTGTCGGGGGCTGCGAGGGGGCGTGCGCCTTGACGGGCGGGCGAGAGGGCGGCCTGTTTGGGGTGGTGGGGGCGGAACGGCCGCGGCGACAAGTGTATGGGGACGAAGGGGGGTCGCTGGCGTTGGCTGGCTGGCGGGCGGGCGGCGCCGGGGCCGGCGAGCGAGGCCTCGGTGGGCGGGCTCCCTCGCGGCCGCGGACGGGTATCCCGAGCGTGGTCGGCTCCCCGCCGTCCCCGGGCGGGGTTGGTTGTTGTCCAGGCAGGCAGGCCCTGGTCGGGCCCTCCTTCCTCCCTCCGCCGCCTCCTGAGAGGGCTCTGAGGCCGAGGCAGCGAGGCTCGGGGAGGTCCCCAGAGCGAAGCCGCGGTGCGGCGAGGGCGTGGGTCCCCCTGGAGGGGGTGTCCTCCCTGACGAGCGGGCGGGGGCGGCCCCTGTTCGCGGTGGTGTTGGGCGAACGGGCGTTTTGGCAGCTGTAAGGAGGCACGCGTCCCTGCGCGTCTCCGGTCCCTCATCCCCTTCCCCAATGGCCTCCCTCCCCCGCCGCCCTGTTGCCGAGGCCCTTTGTGGTGGTGGTGTTGTTGGTGCTGGGCGCGTGGAAGAGGTTGTTGGTAGGTTGGCGAGCGGCAGGCGGGGCAGCCTCCTGGCTGCCATGGCCCAGCCGCAGCGCACAGCAAAGGTCGCGGGCTCGCGCCACGCATCCGGCCGGGGGCCGCCGGGGTAACCATTCCCCGTGCCGCCCCCTCTCGAGGTCGGTTGTGGCCCTGCCCTTCACACAGGCGACCGCTGCATTCTAGACGTTCGGAATGGTTTCCGAGTGCCGCCCCCGCGCGGCCTCCCCCTCGCGACGGTCGAGCTCCCTGCGGTTCTTCTCCCTTCGGCCACGTTGTTGCGTCGATAGCGTCGAGCTAGATCCCGGGTTGTGTTGACACCCTTGCGGCGAGAGCTGAAGAAACCCCCGGCAATCACACACCCCTTCCCTTACGCGCGCGCGCGCGCGTGCGTGCGTGTGCGCGAGGGAGGCTCGGGGGCCCCAGCGCCCCCGCCCCTTCGCAGGCCCTGCGAAGGGCCTGCGACCCCTTTACGACGATGGCAAGAAGCGAAAAAAGAGAGAAAGACGAGACGAGAAAGGGATCGCGCCCGGGTGGGAGCCTGCCGCGGCCGTTGCTCTGGCCCGGCAATGCTTGTTCTCTCCCACCCCTGCGTGCGGCGCACCCTGAGATGCCATCCGCCGGTCCGCGCCCCTCTTTCCCTGCTGCAACCTCTCCTTCCCCTCCCCTGCCTGCCTGCCTCCCTCCCGCCCTCTCGCTCCCCCTGGCCCCTTTGGGGCGGGGGCCGCGAGCAGCGGCGGCGGGCGCGCGGGCGGCGCGGGCGTGGGAGCGCGCGGTAAAGGGAGAGGGCTGCGCGGGCTGGCCCTGCGAAAAGCCGAGGAACAGGGTCGAAGCGAGCGAGCGAGCCAGCGAGAGAGTCGAAGGCGACGACGACGACGACGAAGGAGGAGCGAGCGCCGTGGTGTGGGTGGGTGCGGCGTCGGCGGAGCAGCGATGCAAATGCGCTGCAAATGCCGCGACCCCCCCCCCCCCCCCCCGCGCGCTCCTCCTGCCCCTTCCTCCTGAAGCCTTCCCCTCCTCCTCCTCCTCCCGCTCGTCCCAGCACGAACAAGAAAGAAAGGGAGACGGACGACGACGACGACCAGGACAGGTCGCTTTTCGTTGGTCTTCTCTTGCTTTTCTTTTTTCCCCCTATTTCTACCTGGTTGATCCTGCCAGTAGTCATATGCTTGTCTCAAAGATTAAGCCATGCATGTGTAAGTACAGGCCGACTTAAGGCGAAACCGCGGACGGCTCATTAAATCAGATATAACTCATTGGATCTCTGCTGAACCGCACTACTTGGATAACTGTGGTAATTCTAGAGCTAATACATGCCTTTGTAGTCTCCGACCGCGAGGGAGGAGCGCTTTTATTAGACCAAAACCCTCGGCGGCCGGCCCTTCAACCGGTCGGCCGCGATCTCCTTGGTGAATCAGAATAACTTTCGCCGAGCGCACGACCCCTCCCGTAACCCGGGTTGGGTCGGCGCCGCGTCCTGCAGGCGTCTGCCTTATCAGCTCTCGATTGTAGGTTAAACGCCTACAATGGCTATCACGGGTAACGGGGAATCAGGGTTCGATTCCGGAGAGGGAGCCTGAGAAACGGCTACCACATCTAAGGAAGGCAGCAGGCGCGCAAATTACCCACTCCCGGCACGGGGAGGTAGTGACGAAAAATACTGTTGCGAGCCCCGAACGGGGCCTCGCAATTGGAATGAGTACACTTTAAATCCTTGTACGAGGATCGAGTGGAGGGCAAGTCTGGTGCCAGCCGCCGCGGTAATTCCAGCTCCACTAGCGTATATTAAAGTTGTTGCGGTTGAAACGCTCGTAGTTTGACTTCTGCTCCGGACCGGCGGTCCGCCTTAGCGGCGGCTACTGCCGGGTTCCGAGCTGTGTCCCCGCCGGCGCGCACGGGGTTTTTTATGCCCTTAACCGGGTGTCCCCCTGTGGCCGGCACGTTTACTTTGAAAAAATTAGAGTGCTCAGAGCAGGCTGGTCTTTGCTTACAGCCCGAATGGTCGTGCATGGAATGATGGAACAGGACCTCGGTTCTATTTTGTCGGTTTTTCGGAACCCGAGGTAATGATTAATAGAAGCAGACGGGGGCATTCGTACTGCGACGCTAGAGGTGAAATTCTTAGACCGTCGCATGACGACCTACTGCGAAAGCATCTGCCAAGGATGTTTTCATTGATCAAGAACGAAAGTTAGAGGTTCGAAGGCGATCAGATACCGCCCTAGTTCTAACCTTAAACGATGCTGACTAGCGATCCGCCGCAGTTATTCCCATGACCCGGCGGGTAGCTTCCGGGAAACCAAAGTCTTTGAGTTCCGGGGGAAGTATGGTTGCAAAGCTGAAACTTAAAGGAATTGACGGAAGGGCACCACCAGGAGTGGAGCCTGCGGCTCAATTTGACTCAACACGGGGAAACTCACCAGGCCAGGACACCGGAAGGATTGACAGAATGAAGGCTCTTTCTCGATTCGGTGGGTGGTGGTGCATGGCCGTTCTTAGTTGGTGGAGTGATCTGTCTGGTTAATTCCGATAACGAACGAGACTCTAGCCTGCTAAATAGTCGACGGGTCTCTCGCCCAGCCTTCGCCCTCGGGCGTCGGCTTCGGTTCCCCTAAACCCGGCCGTCGCGCGGGCCTCCACCGTCGGTTGGTTAGCGCCGCCGGCGGCGCGCCCCGCGGCGCCGGAAACTGGCGTCCGCTTCGCAGTCTTCTTCTTAGAGGGATAAGCGGCAGCAAAAAATATACTAGCCGCACGAGAGTTTGAGCCATAACAGGTCTGTGATGCCCTTAGATGTTCTGGGCCGCACGCGCGCTACAATGGAGAGTTCAGCGAGCTGTCCCTGCTCCGAGAGGAGCGGGTAACCTCGTGAAAGCTGTCCTTAAAGGGGATTGGGGCTTGCAAATGTTCCCCATGAACGAGGAATTCCCAGTAGGCGCAATTCACCAGATTGCGCCGATTTAGTCCCTGCCCTTTGTACACACCGCCCGTCGCTACTACCGATTGAATGGTCTAGTGAGGGCACCGGACTGGCGCCCTTGGAGCCGCTACCGCCGCCTCGGCGGCGGCCAGCGCCCTCGGGTCGACGGAAAGGTGTCCAAGCTGGGTCATTTAGAGGAAGTAAAAGTCGTAACAAGGTTTCCGTAGGTGAACCTGCGGAAGGATCATTAACGAGTGCTACTACCAGCGAGCGAGCAGCAGCAGCAGCAGCACCAGCAGCAGTAGTAGTAGTGGTGGCGGGCCGCCGGCCCCCCTCCCGCTGCCGCCTGGCGCCGCCTGCCTGCCTGCCTGCCGAAAGAGGCAACTCTCTCTCTTACAACCCGAGCGGCGGGTTGGGCGCGAGCTAAACGGACGGACGGACGGGCGAGCGAGGCAGCGAGCCAGCGGGCGAAAAAAGGAAGAGGGCGGGATTTGGGGTTGGCATCTGCCCCCCCCCCCCCCCCCCCCGATCTCCCCGCTGCACCTCCTCCTCTTCGTCCTCGTCCTCCTCATGCTCGTGCCCCCCTCCGCGGGGGGCTCTCGGCACGGCTCCCCGGCCTTTTTCTTTTCCCCGTCCGGAAGGGCGGGGAGGAGGGGAAGGCCGAACCCAGAAGTCTTTGTCAGCCCCGCCTGGGTCACCGGGGCCTACGAGGTCAGCGACGGCGCCGGAAAAAGCGGCACACCCCCTGTGCCGCGGCCCGGCGCCGTGGGCTACGCGTCTTCTCAGAGCGCAGGTTACCCTCCCCTTCGAGGCCCTTTGAGTGGGAGGCCATCGAGTAGTAGTGTGAACTCGAAATGAGATAAACCCAGCAAAGACTCTTAACGGGGGATCACTTGGCTCGTGGGTCGAGGAAGACCGCGGCAAGAAGCGATGTTTTGGTGGCTATCGCAATTCTCCCGTGATTCCATCGACGTGTCGAACGCACATTGCGGCGGCCCTGTGCCTTCTTCGAAGGACGGCTGCCACCTTCCCTCGAGTGTCGTGACGTTGCCTCCCGGGAGACAGTACGGACGGCTGCGGGCTGCTCGCTGCCGCGAGCTCTCCGCCCGTCCTCCGGGAAGGCCGCTACGAGAATCTTTTGAGAGTGAGGCGAAACAGCGCCGTGTAGGTGCCGCTCTCCTCCTCCCCCTCCGCGTGGGGGGGTGGGGGGAGAGCGGTTCCGCAAGAGCACAACGGGGTCCGGGGCCCGTCGACCGGCTTTGCCGGCCGAGGGCTCCGTTCTCGACCGTGCCGGAGGTGCGGGAGCGGCGGCGACCGCGGGCGGGCGGCGCGGGCGGCGGCGCGGCATGTGCCGCCTCGCCTGCCTGCCTGCCTCGCCTGCCTCGCCTGCTGGCTCTCGCGCCGGCGATTCCGCCCTGGGGAGTTCGCCGGACCAGAGAGGGCGCGGGTTCCCTGAGCCTTTGGGCAGGAACTCGCTCCCGCGTCCGGACGTTCCCTCAAGACGTGGAGGGTTCGCTCTCTTCCGTCGCCGTCGGCCCGCAGGGACGGAGGGACGGGCGCCCAGTCGTCCGTGATCCTCCTCCCGACGGCCGGCCTGCCACTGGCCCAGAAGGCGAATAATGTTCCGAAGGAGCCGGAGAGGCGCTCTCCCAAAAGCCGAAATTAAACCAGCCGGCCTGTTGCCCGGTCCCCCTCCCGGGGCCAGGCGATCCGGCCGTGCTGGAGGGGCAAGGGCGCACCCTAGTGACGCGAGATCGCGTAGGTGGGGGCCTCTCCGCGCCACGAAACCTGCTTGCAAACGCCGACTCACTCGCCACCGTCCCCCCCACCAGTTCTTCTTCTTCTTCTTCCGCGAAGGGAAAAAAGGGCCTCGGTGGGCCGTCCCTCCTCCTATTAATCTGTGCCGAAAGGAGGCGAGGGAGGAAGAGAGGGCCTGGGGGGCTCGGGGCAGGAGAGGAAGCGGGCGCAGCATCCTGAGCAACAGCAAACAACAACCACTACGCCAAGCCGAAAGGTAGCGGTAGTTGCACAGAAGGTTTCGCGGCAGAGCAGGGCGGCGCGGAAAAAAAAAAGCCGGGATTTGAGAGAAAGAAATCCGAAGAGAAGGAAGAGCGAAACGATACCAAGCAAGCAAGCAAGCAAGCATGACGACAGCAGCAGCAGCAGCAAGCAAGCAAGCAAGCAAGCAAGCAAGCAAGCAAGCAAGCAAGCAAGCAAGCAAGCAAGCAAGCAAGCAAGCAAGCAAGCGTTGGCCGCTGTATCGTCGACCTCGAGTGGAGGGAGATGACCCGCCTAATTTAAGCATATTAATCAGCGGAGGAAAAGAAACCAACCGGGATTCCCTGAGTAAGTGCGACCGAAACGGGAAGAGCCCAGCGCAAAGCCTCGCGTCCCCTTCGCGGGGGGCACGAGGGGTGCTGCGTTCGGGAGAGGTCCTGCACGCGCTCCCGAGCCGCCTAAGTTGTTCATGAATGACTCTCATACCCAGGGAGGGTGTCAGGCCCGTGTGGCGGAAAGGGACTTCCTCCTCCTCGTTCGCGGGGAGGGGGGTTTCGGGAGTGCGGAACGGGCCTCTCCTTAGAGTCGGGTTGCCTGAAACCGCAACCTAAAGCAGGTGGTAAACTCCATCTAAGGCTAAATATGACCACGAGACCGATAGCGAACAAGTACCGTGAGGGAAAGTTGAAACAGAACCCTGTA